CATTTTATCGTCCTACCCAGGACGATAAACTTCCAGTAATTGGTGAAAAAATTGGTACTCATCATTCCATTATAGTTACTAAAATATGACGTTAATATTATCAAAGTCAATGGAAATGGAAACTAAAAACGAATTTAACTATAACATTTAGTTACTCAGACAAGCAACAAAGGCGTAAAATTTACAAAGGAAATCAATACAAACACATCATTTCAGTGAATAAGACAATATTGTTAAGATTTTAGAAGAATTCAAAAACAAAAAGAGAAGCATAAGATGTGAAATTTAAATAAAGTTTTATCACCAAAAAATAATCAAGCAGGGTGTAACGCGCCAAAATATTAGTAAATATAAATATTAAGGTTTGAAGACAAGATGGCATTTTGTATACCGTATTTCGCTGAATTAGATGCCCCATCCCTGAGATTTTGAAGGAAAAATTTTTTGAAAGAAATCGGAAAAAAGTTTTTGCCTTGTACTTCATAGAGCTCGCACCTCACTATTCCCAATTTTACCCACTGAATAACACATTGAAGCCTTAAAACCATAACAAATTCATCACAGACCGAGAAATAACAAACTTATGATATTTATTTTGGAGCGTAATAATCGGAAGAAAAGTTAGAGAGCATAACACAACTAAAACTTTAATTTTATTGCTGCCTGAAATCCTCACTAATCGTGACGAATTTATCATAAAACAAGATGGAGCACTAATTTTACATTAAATCCATGAAACTTTGGATACAGAAATAAGGTTAAGTTTGATTTATGCGTGGGTTTATACATACGATAGTGCTTACAGTATTGCTGAATCCTTATGCCAGTATTATCGCTTGGAATCTTCATTGCTGGTAATCTTGACAAGTTTATTACAAGGACTAAGTTTGTGGTGTAACATTTACCGAAAGTAATGTTCTCACAAAATTAGCTCAAAACACCCGTTACCGAACTTCAATTTATAGGACGCGGGGTGGTTTTTGGAGATATTTTATAAGAAAAAATGCATATAAGTAGCAAAATATGGTACGTAGATAGGTCGCTACCCGAATTTTTGTCACCCACAATCCTGTAATAACAATAATAATAATAATAATAATAGTCAAAATGATTGACCTAACGCTTCCAATATTTTGCAACATTTATAGAAAAGCGATTTAAGAAAAGACTAGACAACGTTTAAAATGTTTAACAATATTTCGACAGTATGTCTGTCTTCTTCAAGTTATGTTAAAAATTGTATACAAGTATAAAAAAAAATAAAAATATAAATCTTTGTAGAAACGTCACTTGTCTTGAGAAAAACGGTTATAGTTGTAATCAATGCTGTTGAGTTTCTGCCACTGATCTCACTGATACTTTTCCAAGCAAAAGCAGATTGTTTGTTAGTAGCAAATAACGTTGATAGCAAAGAGAAAATGGGCAAGAGTATCACTAATCAATTAAAACAAAATGATCTCATAAATTTCTATTCTCACCATAACAACAAAATAAAATCCGGAATAATCATCGGATTCTACTTAAGAGCACTCAGAATTTGTAGCCCTCAATATTTACATGATAAGAAGAAATACATTGAACATAATTTGTAAGCTAATACAATACCCTAATTATTTCATATTCAAGATTATAAATGCATGTTAAGTTTGTCTATATTGAGTGTGATTCCTTTATAGTTTTTTTGCCAATCCTAGATCTCCTTTCTTTGAGAAAGGAGGTGTGCAACCTTCTTCCCATCTTTCTATGATTTCTCCATTATATGTGGCGTTACAGAGTTGGAGTAGAATATCATTGCAATCCTGAGTCTTCCAGATCTCTAGAGGAATGTAAACAAATCCCGCTGTTTTTTTTTACAACTCAATGCTTCTCAACATAATTCAGACCGAAATAGAAAATGTGCGTCGAAAAATTCAAAATGGCTTTCGGAAAAATAGATCAACCCTTGGGCAAATCCTGACTGTTCGGCGAATTATTGAGGGCGCCAGGGCAAAGAATCTGCAGGCCGCCTTACATTTTGGAGATTTCTCTAAAGACTTCAATTCTGTACATAAGAGAAAAATGGAGATCCTTTTGGCATATGCACCCCCGCTCCAAGACAGTAACTGCCATAATGATGCTACACAAAAATACCAAATCTTTGGTTAGATTCCATACGGAGACAGCAGCTTCTTTGACATCAAAGCAGAAATCCTCAGGGTAATACCCTTACACCTTTTCTCTTTGTTATCACCTTTGATTACGTATTGAGAACTTTCTTCAACAAACATCATCATCTAGGTTTTACTTTATCACCGAGACTCTCAAGTCGATATCCTGCCAAAAAAAGTTAACATATTTACTATATAGATGACCTAACAATCACTGCAGACACCATTGCCAATATCACAGTTTTCCTACATCATCTATAAAATGCTGCCAATGATGTTGAACTCTATATCAATGCCTCTAAAACTGAATTCATAGGCTTCAACCAACAAGGCTTAATACAAACTCTATCAGGTGAATCAATAAAATCTTTCGACTCTTTTACATAGCTATGAAGCGAGATAAATTTTACTGGAAAGAATGTGAATCTTCTCATAGATAAAGCCTGGGCAGCCTTGAATAAAATAGATGTAATCTGGAAAATTGATCTATTAGACAAACTCAGAGATACTTTCGATCCACTGTAGAGGTGGTGTTAATGTATGGTGCCACTAGCTGCACATTAATTAAAACATTACAGTCTAAGATTGACGGAACCCACATTCGGATGCTAAGAGCTATACTTATCATCTCCTGGAGACAACATTCAATTAGATCACGGCTCTATGGACCCAACCCTGATATTTCTACAATCCTACGCGTACGCATGATGCCCTTTGCAGGATACTACTGGCGAGTAAAACAAGAACCCGCGAGGGATCTACTGTTCTGGACGCCTAGCCATGGAGCAAGATGGGTTGGTCGCCCAGAAACCACCTACATTGACCAGCTATGTTATGACATAGAATGCCTCCCTTAATGACCTTCTGATCTTGATGCAGGACCGTGATGGGTGACTCATGAATATCCGCGCTAACTTGACTGAATAATATACTAAAATTATTTACACGTCTTTGGCTCTAATATATTGCAAAGTTAATGATATGCCTTTAATGTGGTTAGTGGGAGTATTTAAGGTTTGTTTATTCCTTCTTGAAGTTTCATCTGATTTGAAATCCTCGTGATTACTTGCAAATGTTGGCAACTATTCCAAAAGAATGTCTTGCCCAATTTTAAGTCGCCAGAAAAGCCCATTATTTCAAACAGGCGCGAAATAATTTCATTTTTGTGGAACTCAACAGTCGTTAACCTCGACAATGATAAATTGTGAGCCATAGAATGGTAAGAGAAACATTGAAATTTGTATTGCTCGTGTAACATCAGGAACATGTGGTTTCAATAGAGTTATAAAACACACCCTACACCGTACAGAGCATGAAGACAAAAATTCTAAAACAAAAAAAAAAAAGCAACCAAAAAATAGAGGAATGCTAAAAAGAAATATATTTAACAATACGGAAGTGTTTTTATTTATTTTTTATTATTATTTTATTTAATTTTTTTGTTGGTATGACAGGAAAAAGAAAACATTGCTAATTCAATTTGATGAAATCAGAAATTCAGATATAATGGCTTGATGACATACTTGTTTGTTTATCATGAGACACTCAGGTCAAAACTAGGCCGGGGCGTACTACCCTCGAAACCCACGCCCGGGGAGAGCCTGACTGGAGGCGACGGACAGTGCTTTGTGACGCTCGCTATCTTATCGATATTTGCTTTTTTCTACTTATATTTATATACGTTACAAATTAAACTAAGCACATCTGACTATTAAAGGATGAAAAACTTTCGCAAATTTTCACGTCATTCTGAGTTTATTTTCGTCCAAATCTGTGAATTTGTTTTGCTCATTCTAAGTGTAGAAAACACGATATGAAATTGACTATTTTTTATCCATAATGTTGAATGTGTTTAAATTATTTAACATTTCAACAAAACGATCTAGATCGTTTTGTTGAAATGTTAAATAATTTAAACACATTCAACATTATGGATAAAAAATAGTCAATTAAAATTAAAAATTGGGGCAGAACATTGTGATTTATTTAAGATGGATTGATGAAGGTCAGAAACAGTGTAGGACTCAGGATAGAGCCTTGGGGAACTCTTGCGTTCGTATGGATGGAATTGGAAGAGAACTAGTTATTGGATTTATATTGTGAATTCATTCATGATTTTACTTTGAAATACGTAGGCAATCAAGAAGAAACGGATTGTCAGTGGCTAGGAATTAAGGCAAACGTTATGACAGAATAGAACTACTACGTACGAAGCTAAATCAGAAAGTAAAAGTAATTTTGAAATTACGCGATAAAAACAACAGGGAAGAAGTAATGCATGACACCAGGTATGCGAATGGAAGAGGGTAGTTAATCGCGGGCAGCATTCCATCGTTAAGTTGGTCATTTGACTATAAATATGTATTGTTGATAATTTCTTTACACAAAAACGTATTGCTAGCATTTCCACTACAAGAATGCATTTTCACACTTTCATAGTGTTTGTTTTAGCTTGGAGGTTCACTATTTGCCCATAGCTGGGATTCTAACAGGTGCTGCCACCCCGAGTCAGGGTGAACCTGGGAACAATTGCAATTAAAAGGTGGTTCCACGCGCCTCAAAACCACCAATCTCTCGATCAGAAGACTTCCTACCTGATGTAGTTTATCGTCATACCCAGGACTACACTTTCATACCAAAGATTTTGAAATCATATTTCTAAAAATGGGGAGGACATTAACGTCTGGATGATGTAATTCGAGCATATTGGATTTTTGTAAGTATTTGTTCGTGATTGTCGTCTTCTGAGATTAAATCTCCACCATTGCGATATCTTAAGGCAATGCCAGATTGTCGTACCTGAAATATTTTCCTGGATATCGTTGTCAGATAGAGAGAGGTGAAGGTTAAGACATGCCCGCAGCTTATGATGGAGAAAGATGGAGTGAGTGTTTCTTTGTGCAGGAGTGGTAATGGTAATAATAGCCGTTTCCATATAAAGAAACATATGGCATTCATTAGCCGAGCATCCAGTACTTTTTTCGGTTGAAATTTATAAAATCTTTCTCTTAAAATCCTTCTTTTTTTTTTTTTTTTTAAGAAAAAAGGTTTCTCAAGTCTTGGTATTTATAAAATCTTTCTCTTAAAACAATTTTTTAGGAAAATAAATTATTACTATTTTCCTTCCGATTCTTCTATTTGAAGTGATGTGAAATGTCAACACCTTGATTATGTCATTATTTTCTCTTCAAGTTACATGTGCTATCCATTTTAGTTGTTGCTGCTGTTGGTAATCATCAAGTAATGTAGTTTCTGTTATTTGGTATAATTCTTTGTTTGTGATTTTGTAGCGCCAGTCCACAATGTGCAAAGCGGTTGAATACAGCTGACAGTTTAGATATTTCTGAACAGATTTGGCTCCCTACAGGACATCCATATGGTATTCTCAGTCTGATGGGGTCATTTAAAGAACATGTCTCAAGTTTTCAGGTTGGTATTTTGGTTTCGTAGCAATTTGCGGTATTGGGTGAAACTACCTTTGGCACAACCTATTCTATGTTCAATTTCTTTTTCTCCTATACTTAATTTGTTATAAATGATCCACACATTGAGGTCATTGAGGTATTTGATGAGTTTAACATTTACTAATTCCACATCCTGAATTTTTATGATGGATTCAGGGTAGGTGCCATCACTGCTTTCAGATCAATTCCAGATCATCGTTTCAGTTTTATGGAGTTTGATATCCTAAGCGAGAGAGGACAATTCACAGGGTAAAGAGTAGAACAGTATCGAGTGAATAGGTCATAGAAGATCATGTGCAATAGTTGATATTGTTCGAGGGATTTCACCTGGAAATGTTTGTCAATAAAAATGTTGTCGTTTGTTCCTAGTTGAGGGCGAAAGTCATACAAAGATTAACAGAAATTTTTTCAACCGGAGGGATCAGACGAACCATTAAGATACAGGAAATTATTATATCATTAATAATGGTAACATTACTAAAGAAATGCATTGCAAGTAATTTTACTATAGAAATGCATTGAAACTTCCGACGTAAAGGATTGTCAATGGTCAAAAATTAATGTAAGTTTTATTGACAGAATCGAACTGCTATAGGTGTAATGGTTGTATGGAGTGTATCCTCGGTTCAGTGGTAGTACCTTTGCAGCAAAGCGGTCGACTCTGCTTTACTCAGTTAAATTGGGATCCGGAACTGTATGGATCCACGGCTTACATCCAACTCTCGCACATGACTCCAACAAGTTACACATGGACACTATGAAGGTCAATGGCATTTATCTGCCGACTAAGCTGTGTGAGGGTAGTCGAAAGAGTTTTCCCATCCTACCGGTGAAAGGGAACGCTTCATCTCGACCCACCTGTGCCAAGCGGCCATCGCCCAATGACCAACCAGGGCGTAGAAACTGCGCCTCAGAGGTCAATGGCTTTAACGGTCGGTGAGGGAACTTCTGAGAGGAATTACGGGATAACCTCAACATCCTGTTGCAAAAGAAACCGGCAAACCATTAAACTCTTTTGCCTTGAATGTCACCACAAACCACAATTGCAACAGGTGGAATGGTGACTACAGCTGTATAAATGATGATGATGATGATGATGATATCTGTAATAATTTGCAACACCTATTTTACAAGACCTTTTTGGATATACTATGAGGCGTATTTACAAATGCTGTGATTGGTCGGTATTTATGTTATATATTTAGCCCAATATGTTCGGTATAAAACATATATTAAGTCAGGGGCACGCCCACCCTCAAAGAAAACAGATTTTAAGATATTTAAATTTTATTATATATATATATATATATATATATATATATATATATATATATATATATGCTGCTAATATAAACATACATAATCGAGTTAAATAAGCACCTTAAGGCACTGTCCGAGACCAATGGCTCCATTGAGAATTTTCGGTAATTCCTTAATAATATACCTCACTAAAGATTCAAATCACTTCATTTCTCGAACAGTGTTGGCTATCCATCACGCTGGGATCAGACGTCAACATTGCAAAAGTGCCTTCGGCGATTGCCTAATTTGATCACGTGATCATGTAGTTGAAAGTAAGTGGTCGCTGAAACCACTCAACAATCTCACAGTAAAACCGGACATTCGGGCCATGGCGTCTTTATATTAATTTCATCAGACCCAATTTTTTAAACCACTAAATCTGCAGGTACACCTCAATATACTCGCAACCTTATTCACTGTTCATCATAAAATGCTTTATATTTAAAATCTGTTAAAATCTGATGTGGCTACAAAATGTTAAAAATTGATCAGTCGCCAACTAAACACTTTGCCATTGCCTATGGCTGAAAAACTTTGCCATTGCCTATGGCTGAAACAATATTTAGAATGTTATCAGTTTACAGGTCATGAAGACTGAATCGTCTATTTCTAGAGTATAATTTTTTAACGCAAATTTAAATTCATCATAAATTGGTAAAATCTGCCTTCCTGAAATATTGGTTAGCCAAACGCCGACTACTGGATGATTTTGCAGACCAGCTAACTCCCGTAGCCAATTTGATTCTAACTAGGTAAGTTACTATCGAACTAAGCCTCGTAAATAGCGATTTCAGGCAGTGCTTTTTACCGCCGAGTCTCCCTCGCTATTTCTACTTCAATGAGTTCAATACTCACTGAATGCCTCAAGTTAGTGACCTTGTGTCAGGCAAAATTAAGCTATACCCAAGCCGGATCACTAGTTAAAAAGGTGAGTATTGCGAATCATTAAGACTTCAGAGAGTTCGATCCTCACTGGGTGGCTTCAACAGCATCGCCTCCCCCTTGAAATGGCATCATTTCAGCACATTGAATAACAACAGAAAACACATCTACATCCTGAAGAAACATTCCCCACCGCCACCACGACCTTCTCTCCTTCCACCGTAACGGTTCATGGAAGAGATTCCTTCCTTGCAAGATTGAGCACGCAAAAACGGCCCTTTTCAGGGCCAGCCCCCATTCAAATTGTTAACCCCCATTTGGGGATGTGCCTCAGTTGCACCCAATTGTTGTTACTAATATTGATTTTCGGGTAGGCTGACTTTAAAATTAAACTGCAACAACTGAACGGTAAAAATTCCCAGTAATGAAACATCCGGTCAAAGACGGGTTATACTGCTAGTTGATAATATGGTTGACTTTGAAAAATTAAACTTGCCAAATCGGGGACATCAGTTTAAATTCATGCCATACGTAATACACGCTTGGGCGATCATGTCGCTTTCGATTCATGATTGACTAGGCAGAAGATTTATCGCGGTGGGTTGCCATTTCTTTCTGCGGTAGACTGGCTGCCAACCAGGGTAATGGGGCCCAGTCTGTCCTACTATTCAACTCGTAGCTGGGATGAGATGTGACGGATTCATACTCTTCCCAAGGGTATTTGCGAGTAAGTGAATATAACGAACCCGACTGGAATTCGAACTCGGCTCTGCGATTTCCCATTCCGAGCCGTTATCTAATACAGCACACCGCACAACACTTTACGCGGGACAAAATACTATTAAATTCAATTAGCTCTTCTTAGTTTCTTCAATTCCAGTATTGTACTATCAATCTAACATGTTTCACTTTTGTTAAAGCTTCAGCAGAAAGTGAGATATGAAGAAAAAGAAGAAAGAAATTCTGTTATTTTTACTTTTGTTTTGTTTGATTTTCATCCGTCTATCATATTTCAAGTGCATTCGACTCTTTAAGCTATAGGTATTAGCTCCTATATATATTTTCAACCAATAAAATCCCATCAGAAAGTTTGTTGGATAAACAATAATTACAAGGGTAAATACTATCAAAATACTTGCGGACGTAGTTGTAGACATACCACATGTTACTTTGGGACCATTTAGAAAATAACAATAACCCCTGTCACCACTCCCGCAAATTCAAGAAAAAGATTTTAGCGAGTCAGTTTGAAATTATTTTCTAACTAATGAAAACCTTTATTCAAAAAGTTCACAGCTCTATGTGACATTACATTTTGAATCACACTTATGGATATAAAAATAGAAGCATACTGCTTCTCGGGGTTCAAAACAATGACGGAGGCCATTTGACCTCCACGTGCGACAATACACACTACTCACACATAGAAACAAAATGGAAGAGCCGCCGACTAATGCCTTGTCCACGCCTGCAATAAAAGGGTAGCTGTCTACTAAGCCTTTGTCTACGAACTAACAAACACATTAGGCTGACCGTCATAAAGTAAGTCTGTCCACACATTTCACAATGCCCAAGAACACTTAATTATTTTATAAAACAAACTTCATTGCATGGAAAATTGAATATTTTATTGTTATTGTATATTTCAGGAAAATAAGCTTTTATGTTTCATTTAAAAGATGCGTTGTTGTTGTTAAATGTTTCGAATTCCGTCATTCAGATAAAAACAAAAACCTGAGTAGACGGATCCCAACAAAACGGACTCTAGTATAATTTGTGGCGTTCCGAATACAAGGAGGAACGACGCGTCCATCCAAAGTTTCAAGAAATTAACGGATTCCAAGTATACCTGATTCCAATCCTAACTCTTTGCATATAAACTTCACTATTTACTTCATACTAATATTTCAACAGTATCCAGTTTCCGTTGTAATTTTAATACATTTTTTTCTACTTGTCTAAAGTCTTTGTGAACATCCTGTATGCTAAAAAATGAACTGTCCATTTGGATATAGTTCGGCTGGTCTGTTCTACAACACCTGTCATATTCAGCTGACCTTGCACCAACTGACTATTACCTTTTTCGATCACTGCAGAACGCTTTCACGGAGAAAAGGCTCTCTAACGAAAACCAGGTTCAAGAGTTCGTCGAAAGCTTTTCGCATCAAAACTCGCGGAATTTTACTCAAAAGTTACCGAAGAGCTGGCTGTTAGGCGGCGACAATCATTGCAAATTATAGTGAATATAGAATTCAATAAAATGTAATTGTACCAATTTTTTTTTTTTTTTTTTTTTGGAATAAAGTTGATAAACAATAAACGGAAATTATTTATGACTCAATAAATTTCTCGATCATTTTCAATAATATATTAATAAATTGAAGCGTCCTTTTGCAGATCGCTAAATCATTCTAGCCCTGAGAACTTATGTGTGTCTTCAATGATCTAATATTATTACCGATTGTTTATTATGATAAAATAATAATCCATCGTAAAGTACGGATAATTTTAATCATGAGAATAATTGAGAGTAACTATTATCATCAAAGAGAATCGTCATGGCTTTCATTCGTAGATTAAACATTTGTTTTATTTCATGTAAATTTGGTTAACGACCTTCAAAACCCTCGCGGCAGTAAAAGAAAATTACGAAGTTTATGTTGAAAGAGTCCAGTCATTTAGTAAACTAAGGTGCTAAAACAATAGAGACAACGACCAAAGAACGTGTCGTTCCTTTTTTTACCTGAAAAGAAAAAAAACAAAAAAACAAAAAACAGCGGTGACATAACATGTTATGAAATCTTTCTTTCTTTCTTTTTCACCTTCAGTCCTCATTTATCTTTCACTCTTATCGCTTTCTTTTTATCATTCGATTCATTATCTCCGTGTGTTTTATACCTTCCTCTCTGCTTTTCTTTTTCTCCCCATTTCTTTCTTTCTTTTTTCTTTCTTTCTTTCTTTTCCACTCTCAGACTCTCATCGTCTTACTTTTTCTTTCCCGTCTCATCTCTTTCATTTTATCTTTTAATTCTCCTTCTCCCTCTCTCTTGTTTTTACACTTTTCTTTCTCCCTGTCCTTTTTCTTCACATTATCTCTTTCTTTCTTTTTTTGCTGTTCTCAATCTCTCAGCGTCTTCACCTTTCTTTTCTCTCTCATTTTTACCTTTTATCTTTCAATTCCCCTCCCCATGTCCTATTCTTTCACCTATTTGTCTCTTTCTTTCTTTCTTTCTTTCTTTTCTGCTCCCTGTCTCTAATTTTTATCATCTTTCTTTTCAGTCTCATCCCTTTCCTTTTATCTTTCAATTCCCCCTTCCTCTATGTCTTATTATTTCCTCTCTCTCTCTCTCTCTCTCTCTCTCTCTCATGTCTTTGCCTATTACCCTAACCTTCCTACTTCTGTCTTCTCGTCTATCCTTTTTTCTCACTTTTCATCTCTCTTATTTTTTCTTTCACCCCTTCTTTATTTCCTTTTTTTCTCTCCATCTGTCTCCCTTCTTTCTCCATGTCTCACTGACTGTGCTTTGTGAATCACTGCGTCTATAAATATATATCAAAACATATTTCAAGGCTTTCCATAATTGAGTTGTGTTTGTTGGCTGACTGCAGAGGAATTACTGACTTCGGCAATATGTTATATGCACGGTTAATGAGATTTAAATCAACCGAACGGAGTATCTAATGGAACATTTGAAAGTTAGGCGAATGTTCCCGGGTCAAGTTTTATGCAATCCATGCAATGTAAGGAGCATCGTTATCGATTAATAAGTAAGTTCTAAAACTTGTTTCAAATCTCCTCCAAACACGAACTCTACCATCTACTCGAAAGAGCTGAAAATGTGACTTGCCTCGCTCGGCGGAACGGCGCCAGTTGTCCGTGTTTCATATGAATAAATACAATAGCTCATTAGAATCAATTAATGAGCAAGTTCTAAAACTTGTTTCAAACATATAACAGTACAATTATTCCGATAAAGATTCAACTAGAATATTCGTTCTTATCGTAAGTTTTAGCAACACTTCAGCATTTTATTTTTAATGCTATGACCCTACATGACATAGTCGAGCCACAGATTCCTTTTCTTTATTATTAATGAAGTGTCATGACTTGTTCAGAATGATAGTAACATGGTTTCCTATTGCCTTCTATAAAGTTTAATATTTATAGTTTTCTTTCTTTTAGACTGGTTGATATCCAAGACTAGAGAACACAGTCTATCCTGCAATTTATATATATGGGAGAAAAGATAGTTTCATTTCTTCCTCAAGAGCATATTTGCCTTCGTCAAGGGCATTTGTGCAAAATTGAATGCTACAGACTAGTCGGGAATTAGAACTCGAATCGCTGACATCACTGACTGCACCACTACCCATATGCATTCCCCGCACATTTTTTTTTTCGTTATAACTCGATTCCTTTTAACGTTTCCCAGAAATCCCTTTTACGGTTTTTTTTTTTTTTTTTTTTTTATTGGCATACTCGAACTGTCAACATTCCTATCCTTGGGCTTTGATGCCGTTCTTAAATGAAACTTAATAAATTACTTATTTCCGGAGCTAATTTCGAATAAATGAAACCGTGAATAAGGAGGGCATGCCGCTGTATATTAATGTTAAAACTGCAAAATGCTCGGATATTATAATAACAAATATTTTTGCACGTTAAGAAAAGGTTTTGGGCATGATGATAAACTACATCCGGCAGCAAGGCCTCTGATTGGAAGATTGGAGATTTTGAGGAACGTGGAACCACCTCTTAATTGCTGTTGTTTCCAGGTCCACCCTTACCCGGGGCGGCAGCATCTGTTAGAGTCCTAGCTATGGACAAATAGTACTCCTCCCTATGAAAGTATAAAAATACATTTTAATAGTTAAAATACCAGCAATACATTTTATATAAAAAAGACCGACAATATATGACCAGCAATATATTTTATCTGTAGTTGAAGGCATACAATTCCGTTCCAAATATATTTAGTTAAAGCCATAAAATTATGTTCAAATTATTTAGATTTTGGCATTAAATAAGCCATAGTGGTTGATATGTCGCTAAACAAAACCAAACAGTCAAACAAATAAACAACCAACATGTACTTTCATGACATTAATCCATATATAATATCATAGAATGTCAAACTGTATTTTAAAATATAACTTCAACAAAACTACAACATACAGCGTACATATCACCGCCTCTAGTAATTATGTCCACACAAACATGCATATACCCAAGAGCTGAGTATCATCTACCATATATTCAATTGTGAAAGCAGAATAACATATATTACTTAAAAGCTCCCAAGAAAATTAAATTTTGGCATTAAATGACCCATGTAGATGTTAATTTGACGTTAAACAAATCAACTAACTGAAAATTATTGTAAATATTCTTTCACATCCTGCAGTTTCCTTAAGGAATTTTCCGGTGGAAATACCTACGGAAATGCACACATGCGTTTTGAATAGAAATAGCAGTTTGAAATGTTTGTCCTTTTTCCCAAGTTGTAGCACTGTAGATAGCTTGTAACCTAAATCATTGTCATTGTGTTCGTATAAAAAAAACAAAACCTCCACAAATTATAATTTCATAAAGAAATGTGGGCGGAGAAATAAATAAATTGTTCATATTGAAGATGTATACTTTTGTTCTGCTTTGTTTGTAGATACGACCGTTACGCTTTGTAAACAGACCGGACTCGATAACCGTTTTTCAAATGACACGACAGAAGTATCGGTCACCACAGTATATTAACGCACTTACACCTCCACTCTATCTTCTTTCTTTCTTTCTTTCTTTCTTTCTTTCTTTCTTTTTTTCTTTCTTTCTTTCTTTCTTTCTTTATGACTCTCTGTCTGTCTTTCTTTTGTAATATTTCCCATTTTTTTTCTTAATACTTCTCCACCCTACCTTCCGTCTTTCTTTCTTCCTTTCCCTTTTCTTTCTTTCTTTCTTTCTTTCTTTCTTTCTTTCTTTCTTTCTTGCTTGCTTTAAATGTTTCCCAGTTTTCCTTTTTAATACTTCCCCACTCTACCTTCTTTCTTTCTTTCTTTATTTTTCTTTCTTTCTTTTTTTAATATTTCCTATTTTTCTTTCTTCAGTAATAAGTATTACTTCACCACTCTACTGTCATTCTATCTTTCTTTCTTTCCTTTTCTTTCTTTCTTTCTAGCTTTTTTTAATATTTCCCATTTTTCTTTTTTAGTACTTTCCACTCTACCGTCCTTCTTTCTTTCTCTTTTGTTTTATCTCTCTCTTTCCTTCTTTCTTGCTTTATATTTCTCATTTTTCTTTCTTAAGAATTCCTCACTCTACCTTCTGTTTTTGTTTTTCATTTTTTCTGTCTTTCTTTTTTTTTTTTAATATTTCCCATTTTTTTCTTAACACTTTCCCTCTCCACTTTCTTTCTTTCTTTTTCTTTATTTCTTTATTTTTTCTTTCTTTTTCTTTCTTTTTTAATATTCCCATTTTTCTTACTGCTTCCTCTTTCTTTCTTTCTTTCTTTCTTTCTTTCTTTCTTTCTTTTCCTTATTTTCATTCTATCTTGCCAGTTCCCCACTACCTCTTTTTTCCTAGTCGCACTCATTTACTTGAATTCATTTTTTGAATTAATTTCATATGTGTAATTTTATATTTAATATGCATACAATTGCTGCTTATTCTGTCAGTAATTGCAGAAACATGCGAGGGTAAGGATGATATCTTAGTTGTCAACCCACGAGAATTTCAACTAATGCAGCTAGCATGTATGAATCTTAGAGAAATTAAATAATATAATTTTCTTCTATGTAAGAAATTCCTTTACATAATGTAATTGTCATGAAATATTGAATATAGTTCAAGTTATAATTCACGCCTTTGTTAACTTGAAGTGGTTTTTTTTAGCAACATGCATAAAGTTTAAATTCATTTTAGGTCTGATCCAAACCAACCACGAAAATATAATAGATTCTGAACAAAATTGTCCATAGCTTTATTCTCCTTTTTTCCTATCTTCTTCTATTCCTCCCTTTATTATTATTATTATTACTTCTGTACAGTTTCCTACAATCATACGCCTACTCCCCACAAGACAAAAATAAATTCTATATAACACAATACCAAGATTTCATTGCTGTAATATCCTGTCTAATCTCTTGTGGTTATTAATGTCTTCCAGAAACTAAGGAAAGTATTAAGTGAAAAGAAAAAATACTTAAAAACTTTAATTTAAACCTATCGCCTATACCTCTCCCTCTCCCTCTATCTATACAGGGAGAGTTGAGTGGTTAGCGGCGCTGGGAGGAAGAACTAAAAAAAAGGGTCAACGGCCAGCGAACTAGAGGTGGTGTCTCAATAAAGTTACCGAGGAGGAGGGAACGGGAAAACATTCCACTATCCTTTCTAAGACAAAGCTATACACAAAACAAATATAACAGAAAACTATGTGAAAGGGACCAAGTCCCTCCGAGCTGACTCCTTGCCCGAAGAGACATGTGCAACAGGTGTTACCTGATCGTCATACAGTGACTGTTCACAACAAAGGGAAAACCCTTATCAAGACCTAGAATATAAGGACATTGTATCAGTGGGGAAGGCATGAAAATGTGCAACTTGAAATTAAAATGCTAAATATGAACATCCTGGATGAATGTGAAAATAGGTGGATACAAATAGGGATATCATAAGCGACAGGCATAGGATCATATATGCAGGTAGAGAGAAAAATGAAAGAGGAGTGGGACTAGTACTAGACAAACATGAAGAAATGTGTTCTGGCATACTGTTAAATATTGGAAAGAGTTCTAGTTAAACTGAAAGGGAAGTCATTCAGTTTAGCCATCATTATAGCATACACACGAACGCCACAAAGTTTGAAAGAAGAAATAAATAAGTTTTATAGCACACTAGATAGTACCAAGAACCAATGCAACTCTCAGGAAATCATCAAAATCATAGGAGGCCTAAATGCTAAAGTAGAAAAGGAATGAAGCAGTGAAATATTCAGTAACTTTTGATTGATTTCTTCTTTTTTTTTACGGTTTACTCAAACATTTGCGGATTATTTAAAGCCAGAAAATATTTTTAAATTGTAAGACTTTTAGGAAAATAATAATGATCTACTGACAAAAGTCTTACTAATTAACCCATAGCCGGCGAGAAGCGTCAGATTCGTGCCTTTACCAAGGGTATTTGCGTGTTAGTAAATATAACGAACCCGACTGGAATTGGAACTCGGCTCTCCGATTTCCTCTTTCAAACCGTTACCCACTACATCACCCGCACATACAAACTTACAGTATCTGATATTCCCAAGCGGTCATCCATCAAGGTACTGATCAAGTTCGACGTTGCTTAACTTCGGTGTTCCAACGTGATATGACTGTAAGCCTTATTCAGTAAGTACCGACTAGGATCATGCAATGCATGTGGAGAAAAATGGGTCCTATAGTGCATAGCCAATGATCAAATTATAACCAACGCCTAGTTTAAAGAACATTCAAGAGGCTTGTACCATGAAAAGGTACAGAAGAAGTTCACAAAGAACGAGATATGCTACATAACAACCAATATAGATATTCAAGAATACAGTTCTACACTTTAAGACTCATCCAAGCGCCGACTGTGGAGCAATCACCTTTCACCCATATGCAAACCAAGGTTAAAATTACAGAAATTAAATAAATCCAAAGCAGCGCTTAAACTACAAGAAAAATCAGATTCCTGGACAATTCCTGGGCAACTCAATTTTCAAACAGATACTGATACAACCAAGAGTAAATAAGAGCTTAAAAGGGGTTAGAAATGTAAATTGGAACATCTTAAGGGAAGTACTAACGACATCAGCGAACAAGATCATACCAAGGAAAAGAGAGAAAAAAAAAAAAGAAAAATGGATGACAGTCTCGAGGTGATGAAAAAGAAACAGCAAACAATGCTATGGAATGGCACAGAATATAGATTATTAAACAAAACGTTAATGCAAGCAGGCAAAATATAAATAGTTCAAGGATAAGTTTTCAGGCATAGGAAAAACATTGGAACATAGATACAGCTAGCATACATGATAGAATCAAAGGGCAAAAGATGTACTCCATGACAAGATACATATAATATAAAAAGTCAACGCTCATAAAAGAAAGAAAAAGATACTTTAAAAAATACATGGGAGAACTCTCCCGACGGAGAGAAACTTGCAATATCGTGGGAGAACCTAAAAACTGGGGTAAGAATAGGACTGGTCAATATGAACAGAAACAAAGTAGCACGATCAGATGCGATTGCAATAAAGATGTTGACAACTGAAGACAATTCGAGATCGACAAGTTTACGAAAATCATAAATGTAATATATGACAATGGCAAAATACCGGAAGGTCTTAGTATATCGACCTTCGTACTGATGCTTAAGAAGCCAGATGCAGATAAATGCGAACTCCATCGGACAATCAGCTTAAATAGTCACATAAATAAACATATCATTTGAATTCTGGGGAATAGAGCTCTAAATAAAATTATACGGAAACAGGGTAATAAAAGTGAGGCTTCGTTCAAAACACTTGAACAAGAAATGCTATCTTTACTCAGAAGTCTATCGGAGCGAGCAATACAGATGCAGAATGACCTATACTTATGTTTCACATATAAAAATCATTTGATACGGTACGACGCAAAGATCTATTTGAACTGATAGGAAAATTAGAAGTATTAAGTTAGTAGAATAACGCAATAGAAGTTTGGAGAAGAAAGCGAGAAGAAAGCGAGAAGAAAATGCTAACCGTTAATTGTACGATGATAGAATATATCGTCATTAGCAAAGGGAACATCCCAAGATGTGAGCTATGAATTGGACATGTCAGAAGCAAGGCGGTACAGAAGTTTAGCTAAATGAGTGGTATTATCAGGGCCGTTTGCAAGGTCTCGTGCACCCCCATACTTTGATAAAGAGCATCTCAGTTTTCATAAGATGGTATTCATATAAAATACAAATTTTATTGTAACCTAATTATGTACAATAATGGGTCATATGCAGTGTAGGTGAACAATTCAACTAGAAAAATTGTAAATAAATACAATGTATCTACAAATTAGAGACATGTCATAATAGATCATTCCATATGAAAGAAATCAACAATGTTTTGAGACAATTATTAACATCAACTTGAGATTTTTTTCTTAAAATGTTGAATAATTTAATATATTCATCATTATGGATAAATTTTATAAAGTGTTTTTTTTAAAAAAAAAAATTTCACTGGATTTGGACGAAAAAAAAAACGACCCAGACCCAAAATCCACGAACATTTTTCATCCCTTTAATAGCCAGACGTAGTTAGTATAATTTGTAACATATATAACTGTAGGTAGAAAAAAAAGCAAATGTTGATAAAATAGAAAGGGTCACAAAGCACTGCCCGGGAAATTTTGCTCTTGTTTTTCTCCATCTGTTGTATCATTTAAGAAATTGTGGCCTGATAGTTTTGGCACGGTTAGGGTCGTGGAGGCTTTGTAGAAAACTCTCCGTGGAAACTGTATTCTCTGACTAAACCTAAATTTCTGTTTAACCCTTAAATATGTGATTCTATCTCGAAAATATATTTTAACTCGGAGTTACATCGTTCTTGTTGGTACTTAAATGAGGACTCTAAAAGATGCATCTGATGCTATCAATGCTGTGGTCTGCTTGGTTGAAATGTGCAATGTTCGTTTTACATATATATATATATATATATATATATATGTGTGTGTGTGTGTGTGTGTGTGTGTGTGTGTAAAAATCAGTAGGTAAGTAATCCAAGTAGATCCTAATAATATAAAATATTAAAACTGATCCACAAAAGTGAGCTCAATATATTATTATAGAGCATATAAAGGAATTACATAAAAATGAAACTCAATTGTACCCCATTTTGATGGCCACTTCGCCCCGCCCCCACGGGATTATCTTCCTGGGGCTTGTCAATGCGAAAACGTTTGTTTTTTAACAAACGTTGTCGCATTGACAAGCCACAGGGAGATTATTCCGAGGGTGCGTAATTGCCATCAAAATGGGGTACAATTGAGTTTCATTTTATGCAATTCACGCACACACAAATATATATATATATATATATATATATATATATATATATATATTGATCATTTCTTTCAAAGCAAAGCAACTAAGACGAAAGTGGTTACTAAATGTGAAAGAATATGAGAAAAAGAAACTATTATTAAGGAATTATATCAACAAAAGAACAAGAACTAAGAAGATAGAAGATAATGTTCGACATTGCAATTAAATATTTGAAGATCAAAGGTGGAAATAGAGTTCTATAAATGAGAAGTGGAAGAAAAGAAACTGTTAGCATAGAACTTACGGTTACATTTAGCCAATTCAACTGCAAAATGATGCAATCTTGTTGCCAATCTAGTAATTCAGAAAGTCTAGGTACTAAAGAGGAAAGCTCATTAGAACAATTACTACGAAAATATTTATACAAAAGGCCCAAGAAAGCTACGTGACGACAGTGGGAAAATTACTGAAGTCGAGATGCCACGTCATAACCGCTAACATTGCTGATTCTTATTTGGATTTTATCAAGAATCTCTAAATACATAGCAGAAGTACCAGACGAGATGTGGTAGCAATATTCAATGTATGTACGAAAGGTAAACTTATAAATGTGAAAAATAGATTCTGGGGAGCAGTGAACCAACTTTCCTCGCAGTAGACGTAGCTATTGATTCAATATAACCTTTCCACTTCATATCAAAGGAAAGCGTTATCCAAGAAAACGCAATGTGTTATTTTCCTGGACGTTAGCATCAGATGATGGAAGGCAGAAAAATGTTTTCTCAGGCGATTAAAAGAGAAAAGTTTTCGTTTTGGAAGCGTTAAAATTATCACGCCATTTCTTGGCCCAGTTAACATCTGTGTAGATCATTTTTAACTATATATATTGAATTGTGAAAATACTTATCTATATTTTTGAGATCAGCGTCTGGTGTTTCTGGTCTCGTGACCTTATTAAAGGAATCAATTTTTAAAGGAATAAAATTTCTTGATGTTCTTTTAATATTTCATTGTTCATTTTCTGTATCTGATGTCATTTCTTTTTACTTTTGGCAAGAGTGACTTTCTGCCTAAGTGGTAATAAAGTCATTATATACATATATATATATATATATATATATATATATATATATATACACACACACACACATATATATATATATATATATATATATATATAAAATATATCGCACATATAGTGTTGTTGTTAAAACAAAGCTCGATGTAATAAAATAATAAAATAAAACAGACTAATTAAGTATATATTAAATATACACGGTGGAGTACACGGTGGAATAATGGAAAGCGGCTGGGATTGAGGAATCGAAGAGCCGAGTTGGATCCATTACATTCACTTACGTGCTAATACCTATGGGCAAATAGCAGGACAGGGTGGATTTTATAGCCTTGATCTAGGAGAAAGTAACTCTGAATTCAAAACTGTATGTATCCCAGGTTCGGAGTTCATCGCTGATTTCGGCCTCGTTCTGGCAGCTGCAACGGCGCTTATCCCAACCTGTAATGGCCGTGCTGTTCCTTTGTAACAGCGGTGACATCTTGTCCTCCGTACTTGATCCTAGCTTACTGGTGGGTTGGATCGAATCCATGGTCATTGATAACCGGTGGAAGATATACTTATTGTCCTTCATAGCACGACTCGGAATCTTCAGAGTATAGACTTAAATTGTATTTAAATTATTTTTATTAAAATTTAAATTACGTAACGGTCATATATATATATATATATACTCAGCACCTGAAGATTGTGTTGTGCATGAAACTCCGAATCGTGTTATTGGCCAGGGATATATATATATATATATATATATATATATATATATATATATATATATATATATATAGTTGAGGCAGCTAGTTCGAACATTACTTCACCAATTCTCTATTGATCGATTCGTTTTCTTCCCTCTGATTAAATAAAGACTTTCAGTTCATGATAAATGATATTTCGGTGAAACTGGAAAAATAAAGAAACTTGCTTAACGTCTCTCAAATCAGTCTGAACAAATATCGATTCAATCATCTTATAAGTTTTAAAAATAGCGCATCTGTATATTCGCTAATCGATGGTGATTAAATCATTTGTTAGATATTTGTGTCTAACCGAGATTTCATGAATTTCTTCTAATAAGAAATGTATTTCACAATACCAAAAAAATGGAGTACTGCTGCCGTATCTGGGCTGGAGCTGCACAATCCTCTGAATTCAGACACCCTGACTTGCTGTTTTCCTTCTCTTTGGATTTCTGTGACGCAATGCCGTTTCTCTTCGAGTCAATTTCCTCCTTTATTGTTTCCTTTGTCATAATGTTTCAGCCGTTGGAATATCTTTCTGGCAGTTTCTGAGACATGTTGATATTTCTATTAAAGATTGACTAACGTACAATTCGCCAATAGACGTTGTTATTATTATCTATTGATCGGTACTTCTCCCGAGGATCTATGTAATACTATGAAACGTGTAACCAATACAATATAGTCATTAAATGCCTATGTGTTTCTCTATACACGCCCACGGAATTGGATAAAGCATTGGAGAGGAGGAAGAGAGAAAGGTAAAATAAGGAAAAGGAGGAAAAGTAAAAGGTTCCTTTCATTTATTTGGTTAACGGCACATTAACTCCTTATGGGTCATTTAATGTCGAAATTTAATTTTCTTGTAAGTTTGAAGTAATAAAAATATATGTTATTCTGCTTTCACAATTGAATACATGGTAGTTGATCCTCAGCTTTTATGCATAAACATGTTTGTGTGGACATAAGGTAATGATATGTGTATTTTTATGTTGTTATGTTGTTGAAGTTTTATTTTGGAATACAGCTTGATTTCTTTAAGAAATTGTAGGATATTATATCGATTAATATCATGAAAGAGTTATTTCATGTTGGTTGGTGTGTTTTGGTAATTTTTATGTAAAAATGTATTGATGGTATTTTTACTATAAAATGTGTTTTTATACTTTCATGGGGATTTGTTTTTATTTGGGGGTTCACTATTTAAACATAGCTGGGACCCTAACAGGGGTGCTTCCACCCTGGGACAGGGTGGACCTGGATATCAGCAATTAAGAGGTGGTACCACGCTCCTCAAAAATCACCATACCCAAGAATAAGTAGTAGAAGGTAAGTAAGAAGGCAGGAGGTAAACAAAGAGAGAAGCGAGTGAAAGTAAAGGTGGGGAAGGAAATTAACGAAAAGGAAGCTTTATTACTTCTTTGATCTTTTAAAGGAGAAAGAATTCACTTTCGGTGAGACTGGAATTCACATCAGTTTGTCTTCGGGAATTATGCCTTGCTCTGACAGCAAGTGTCTAAATTCACTTTCATCATTTGTTTAGGTTTCATTACAATTCTAATCGTGGCTTTTTGAAACAATAAACATTGCAGAGGAGTGAACGTAGTTAAAATAATGGTGGTGCCAAAGAAAAACCGTACTTTTGACACACCGTTTTTGTGTACACGAAGGCTAAAGATTGGCAAAAATTGATTATCATTATCGATCATTCTACGATCATTATCACAGCTAGATTATCATTCTGTGTTTATTATTATTATCATTATCGATCATTCTCCGATCATTATCACAGCTAGATTATCATTCCTTGTTTGTTATTATTATCATTGTCGATCATTCTACGATCATTATCACAGCTAGATTATCATTCTTTGTTTATTATTATCATCATTATCAATTATTCTACAATCATTACTTATCAGTACGAATCAGAAATCAAGAAATAAACTTCAGATGAAACTCGAACCTGCATCCCTCATATTTTCGAAGTCTGTTCTAACCTGATATATTCTTTTCCGAGTAGTGATTAAAATCTAACCATGTAGTTATTCTTTATTTTTTCCTGAACGCTTGTTACACCGCAGTCTCTCTTTAGGGATATTCGTCGTATTAGCAGTAATATTACTCATACTGTTTTTGTTTTCTCTTATGTCAAGTTCAAAAATCAATTGTCTGTTATGCTACTCCCCTCATGAAGAAATAAACAGGCTTTTATCAGTTGGATTCCTGAAGAGAAATGTCAATTTCGGTGCTTCTTTGAGGATCAAAGATTTCAAAATCAGTGTACTGATACGCTTCTTTGCACCTACCTACATATTTACGATCTGTGAAATTTTTATAACTACTCTCAAAACATATTGATTCACAAGTGACGTTATTACACACAGGTCGATAAATAATCCTATTAAAAGAAAAAAATTCTCTCATTCACTAAATTGACTCGAAGTCAAAAGTTTGAGAACGTTAAAATATACTTGCCGAAATTATGATTTAATCTCGAATAACTTTTTTCAGCGGGTGAATTATGCGGGAATACATCTGGTTGATCTAATAATAATGAAAATATTAGATTATCATAATACGATTATCATTCAGTCTGCATTCTGAACGTGTAGCGTTGTGTCAGACGCAGTCTCAGGTCATGTCGTTTAGATTTCAGGCCCAACACAGGAAATGACAAAAAACACATTTAAAAACTTTAAGAAAACTTTATTCCAGTTATGACATTAATCAAAATAATGCACTCTCGCTAGGTTTTGTCGTAGAAGCCAAATGTTTTTGTTAATATATGGATACACAGACATGAATATTTGACTGAGAACTCAGAAACATGGTATAGGAATATACATTCCTTATAAAATGTATCCAATGAAATGATGAAACCTTCCAACACTACAATATGAGTTATTTGATAACTTAACCTCGCAGTACTGCATTTCTTAGGAAAGATCGTAAAAACAGATATATTCTCCAGATGATACGGATATTTTTTCAACTCTAAGGATAACAGTATTTCTTATTAAGAGTAAAAATCGTAAAGGCGTAAATTCTATCAAACTAACTAAATACATATCTATCTATCTATCTATCTATCTATCTATCTATCTATCTATCTATCTCTATATATATAAAGTGTGGATGGTCCTGCACGAGGCCTTCACCACTATAATCAAATCCCATGTGCCGGTGTCGGGCTGTCGGTTTCCTGGAAACTGATCTACTTGACCCTCATACGTCGAATCTCGACGGGAGAGTCGATTATATATATATATATATATATATATATATATATATATATATATATATATATATATGAAATAGAGATGAAATGCAGATTAAATATGAAACGGAATCCGACAAGATGATTAGAAAACGTTTATCAATCTAAAATGTTTCACTTTTATTAAAGCTTCGTCAGAGATTGAGAAAAAAACAGACAAAAGGACAAAACTTTGGTATTTTCAATTTTGTTTGGATCGATTTTCATTGCCCAGTCATGTATCACAAATCTCCCAGCTAATGGTTAATTAGTAAGATTTGTATCTGGAACAGTGATTGTTATTCAAAAAAAATTGTTAATGCAAAAAGTATGAATCTCCCAGCTATGGTTTAAATAGTAGGATTTATATCTGGAACAGTGATTGTTATTCTAAAAAAATTGTTAATGCAAAAAGTATGAATCTCCCAGCTATGGGTTAAATAGTAGGATTTGTATCTGGAACGGTCATTGATATTCTAAAAAACATTGTTAATGCAAAAAATTCAGACGCGAAAAAAAAATTATTATTCTTACAATCAAAAATATGTTTCAGTTTTAAATAACCTCTAAAAGGTCGATAAGACTTAAAAAAAATATCAATCCCTACTCTCAGGTAAAAAATCACTTTAGCCAATACAGTCAATAAACAACCTATCAAATGAGATAAATATACGTCATTCCCGTTGCGATGTGGCGGGGCTCAAAGGACATTGATTTTAGGATTTAATTGAGCGTCATGACTTAATGTGGATGATGACCATTAGAAACAATGCAAAGTTAAAATGTTTAAATTAATAAGCACACTTAAAATCGACTTATTGATATTTATTAAGTTTAGAATTGCACAAAGCCTAATAGTTGTAAATTAAGATTGTGTTGTTGTAAATTAAGATTGTGTTGTAAATTAAGATTGTGTTGTGGCAATATTTCGAGTAGGGAGAGCCTTTCTATATTTAAATACTAGCTTAAAAGTCGCATTCATTGCGGACTTTTAAACTAACACCTGCGTAGTGCTAATTGGCTTCCCGGACCAAAACTAAAGGGACCTCTGGTCCGGCTTAGAAAACAGCAATGATAATTTTGAAAAAATAACTTTGAA